GCGTCAAACACTACTGAATGGACAATTTCGTTTTATAATTTGCTCTAGATCTTGTACAAATTTTCTAAAAATACTGTGCTACGGATTTTTATTAGGTGGTAATTATGATCCTGCACCTGAAGAATTTTTTTTCTGTCATCTCACGCACTATTTGCGCATAAAAAAATAATAAAGAAAGTAGCAATTCATCACCGGCACTTAGTGAAGAACCGGCACTCAGTAAAGAAATCGGTGTTTCTGCAGAAGAACTTCATGCTTTTTACCGAAGAAATCGAAATTTTTCGAGAAGGTCAGGTTTTTTCCTATAGAAATCGGTGTTTCCCCAAGAAGAACTGCACGCTTTTCCCTTCAGTAATCGGTGTTTCGTCACCAGAACTTCATGTTTTTTCCCCTAGAAGTCGTTGTCTCTGGACAAGGACTTCATGCTATTTGCTGTAGAAATCGATTTCTGCAGAAGAACGTTTTTGGCAGGGAAGAAATGATTCTCCACAGGAACTTCATCTTTCTATTTGAAGAAATCGGTGTGTCTCCAAATGAAGGTCACGCATTTCCTGACACAATCGGTGTTTCTCCACCAGACCTTCGTATAGTAAACGGTGTTTCTATACAACCACTTCATCTTTTTTCCTGTAGACATCGATGTATCTCCACAAGAACTATTTTTAATTGACGAAATCCATATTTGTTGTTTTATTATTTTTATAATTATGAATTGTATTATTGCTGCTGCAGTGACTATTCATTCATCCTCCAGTGTAGCACACGAATGATTCACAGTGAAAACTATAAGCAGAAAACGAATAATACACGTCGTTAGAAAAGCTAGACTAGGCTCACTCATCATTTCTGACTACCTGCATTAAATTTGCTATTTTTGATGTTAATTCTTCCACTGTAGACTCTTCATTCAGTATTGATTTAGACTTGGAGACAGGTTTTTCCTAAACATAAGAGAAAAAGCGTAATATTATTATTTGTAGTCACATGAAAAACGATGCCAAATTTACTTTCTTTTTCTTTTCTTCTGCATTTCTATTCGTCGTTGTTGTTATACAATGCTGGCATAGAACGTGATAAACAAGTAATACCATATTTGAACGACTGTCACTGGTATATTCCGGCGATTTATCATTCATATGTATAACTGAATAACCATTTCGACCAGCTGCTTGACATATAGCAGCCTCAGCAATCGGAATCATGGTGTAGTCTGTGTATCGTCTGTCTCGTCGTACTAATGTAACCGCTAATAACGAATTATTGTAAAATCGTTTTGTGGCAAATAAATGTTCAACTTCCTCTTCCGGTACACAACGCTTTTTCCCTGTCCGTGCTCCGCTCCACGTGGATGTGTAATCCAAATAGACAAAACGAAACAGATGACCAGCTCTGATCTTGAAATTGAATATAAAAGCAAACGAGGTTATGTTTATAATATGAAGCTCATTATATCTTTCTTGCACGCCTTCTTTGGATAAACATTTTTTGACTAATTTCTCATAGTCAAACGAATTGGGAATAAATATTTTATTCGGCTTGAAATGTTGACCGGACAGCAGCATGCTAGTTGTTCCAAAAGTTGCTGCATCTAAAATTAATGCGTATCCCGTTAATGGACCATTGTGCATTGTTTTAATATTTTTAAAATATCTTTCTAACAACATCTTTTGTTCGGACTTATTATTATCATTTGGATAATGATCCACTGTTGTTCGTCGCTGACGTTCAGAACGGCGGGCAATAATTGGATATTGACGTAGCAATTCATCATCCAGCGACATACCTGGTGAAAACAGAACGTCGGCAAATTAATATGAACACTCTCACTCACATACTTTGATGAAACATATCGCATCGTATGATTAACACCCGTCGTACAACTTGTAAGAAAGCCAGATAATCATCGGATTCCTTCATAATGTCACAATCTACCAACAGCGTAAATTCTTTTGATTGAAGCGGTTTCTGTCGAATGTAACTTTCTAGTGTATCTAACTTGGCGTTTTGTAGGCTTGCGATTTGGGTAGTTGTTGGCTGTCCTTTAACAGCCTTTAACCACCAAATTTTAAGTTCATTAACGTCTCTGTGTCGATATTTCCTACGAACATCAACAGCAATTAGCGTATCTTGAATGAGGACCATTATATCTAGAGGCAAATAGAAACACAGTGTTATTTGTTGTTAGAATCAGAAAATTTCAAGAAGACATGTTATATATAATTTTGCTTTTAGCTACTAAGTGAGTACGAAGTTGATATGTCAAATAAAATTATTTGTTATTTACTTTTCTTCGTACTTTTTTATTACATCCTGCTAAACTTTATGGCACGATCATATACCTTGTTTAGTAGCCGTTTAAAAAGGAAGAAAACATAGAAATCTAAATTTAAAGGTAATTAGGAAACACCTTTGAGAACATAAACCTAATAAAAGATTGGGAGCATCATCTAAAAACAATCTATTTCACCGACTTATTGTTAGGTTCCGCCTAACTTGTATGAATCTTCACTTGTTTGTACAAATCTTTATTAAGAAAGCAAAGACACTGCCCTAGTACAGTATATGACTGTATATATAGAAAGAAAGAGCAAACGTAACAGAAAAACTTTTTCGCCTACGTTTGTTCATACACCTATGAATCATGCTTTATTTACTGTTCTCATGACTTCATTATTATTAGTTTCAGCTACTATATCCTTTCGTTTCATCAACTACTGTTTCTTTATATTTGACTCATGATTTTTCTTTCATCCAGTTTTCGATGATTAGATTCTATTGATTACAAATATGCATCCAACAAATTCTACGCCTTATTTACCAATGAGTATATCAATTCTAACCTCCTTCTAACAAAAACGTTTTGTTCTTGATCAAAGATCCCACTGCCATCAAAATTAATTTGGATTGTAACAAAGATACGCAATAACGTCATCCACAGTATATATTGCCGATACGAACGCCTTTTGCGCTCTCTCTCTCTCTCTCTCTTTCTGTAATGATTCTATAGAATTTAAATCACGACTAAGAAGTTACTCATGATATTACGCAATACCAGCGCAATGAAAAAACA